TCTTTGATCACGTTCATTAAATTTCTTGTTTTGTACACGAATTTAGAGGTTATGTCGCCCTTGTTGAGTTTGCATTTCGGGTATTGGAAAATCAAGTATTCTCTACATTAGTTCTACAGTAAATTCGTCTGAAATATCGTGTACAATCAATTTGGGGTTTTCTAATTTTTTTTATTTAACCTGCCTTTGCTTCATTACAACCTTGATGATGTTGAGCTCAGATTGTCCCACTCTTCTGCTTCCAATGTTCAATTAAAATGCGACCATGCCCGAGCGATTTAAATGAATTTATTCGACTTTTGAGGAGGATGTCTGGATTTTTTTAATTCCATATGTTTTGACTGCCTCTGCAGATATCATGTGCCAACAGTTAACTTGTTCATACTCTTTCATTTGCTTCTTAAACTTTTAGATATTTCTTTGCGGTTGTCTTTTTTACTTAATGATTCTTTTGTTTTTGATATTGAAGTTTTTTGTAGAGTTCCTAGCCTCCTGCGCATCCCCTAAATTAATAACGTAATATTCCTTGGAGTTCGAAGCCTCTTAAACCTCACAGTTGTTGCTTCTACAAGGTGTTTCATTGTTGAATCTTTTGTCCTAACTCCTATTAAATCTTTCAAATACTTCCCTAAACTCACTCACTGACTTCAAGAATGTATTCTTCTTTGGATCCTTTTCGTAAATTCCGCTACGTCCCGTAGGCTTTTAAAACATCAAATCATTTTCCACACGCTCTATCATCTATCTTGTGTGTCGTAGTATAGTAGTTAGTAGTAGTAGAAGTAGTAGAAGTAGAGTAGTAGTAGTTAGCAGTAGGAGTAGTAGTATGATGTAGTAGTATGAAGAAGAAGATAGTATAATAGTAGTAGTAGGTCATTGGTCGACGTAGTCGTCCGTCTTAGTCGTAAGTCGTGGTCAAAGCATTGAAAGATAGAAAATAATGCTATAGTAACCACTTCCTTTACCCACATTTTCTACTAGATGTAATAGAAACAGAAAAACAACTAATTCAATCACATTAAAAAAATATAAGTGGAAATTTTTTTCGCTGAATGACTCCTAAAATTACAATTTACTTATGTTTTTGCTCCATTTTTCCTGGGAAGGTTTCACTGGAGTAATGGCGAGAATTTTCCTGGGGAAGTGCTATGACTTCTATAACGCCACCCAGATTCGTGGAGAAGCCACCAAAAACACTCCAAAATGCTTTCTCATGATGAGAGGCATTACTAATAATTCGTAATTCAATGAATGAGACATTTCAGCTTGGATATTCTTTCACAACAAGACGTTAGAGGTTTGAGAGAGCATAAGAGAACAACCCACCTTCCCTTTTTTTTGGGGAGATCTTTTCGCACCGGGTCTGACGAGAGCAGCAACTTCACCTTCGGGCCAACGAATACAGAGCGGTGCGTTGAATGAAATCTTTTTTTTTTTCCAGAGAGATGTGAAGGCAACTATACATGGGCGTTAACTTAAAACTTCATTTTGACTCAATGACTGCACAGATATGGAACCTGTTGAGAAGGACCTCAACGCCAACGAGACTACACAGGAGAACTTTCTGTCGGCTGGAGCGTGCTGAGCGCAGCAGGTCAACTCGGAGGGACTGGGACGCGCTCTATCGCGGAGGGAGCTGGGCGCGGTGTTTCGGAGGGCCCACTGCCGCCGGCCCACGCCCCCCGGCACCTCCCGCGCACCCTCGAGCATCCGACCTCACTGCACCCGGCCGTGCTGTGGGAGCTCGCCCCCGACCGCGACCACATCGTCGTCAGCGGGCTGCCCGCTGCCTTTCTCCAGCGACTGGCCGCCACCGAAGTGGACGAATCGGATAGCGACGACACCGGAGAACGTAGAGTGGGCGCAAACCAAGAAGAAAACAACAAATGGAGACAAATGAAGAAAAACAGGTACGTTTCTGGTTTGACATTAAGCAATTACTAAGGAAGATATGAGGCAGTACTCGTTCTGGGTTAGACAGAGGCTACTTTCCAATTACATGGACAGTGAATGCCAAAATAAACTCTCTGGAAACACTTGTCTCGAGAGGACAATTTCATCGTTTAGCAAGATATCTCTTCCCCAAGGTTCAATTATCACAGTGACCATTAGTAGAATGAACACTTCCACTTGCTTCAACAACGTTTTGTTTTCAAAATATTACACTTGCTGGGAATATTTGCGTTCCTAATTTCTACATTACAAAAATCATTTTTTGGGTTTTAGTAGAGAAGAAGCTATGGGAATGAACAAGATCAAAGGAACACAGTAACTCGCTTGGACGCCGAAGCAACAGTACGTTGTTATTTGATGTAAAATGGAACAAGGAACGTTTTTTGCTTTCAACAGACGTTTTAGAACCAAGTGCCTATATATAACGGATATGTGAAGGGTTTATAGGAGGTAGTTTTCTATATTGAATCCTAGATGTAAGAAACCGCGACTTCATTTAGGCTGTGTGAAAGACTGTTCACACGCAAGGACGGCTTACCAACTCTCGCGTGAATCACGGGGTCATCAGACAATAAAACTCAACTTTACCATTTTTATTGGCCTTCCATGCAAATCAGTAACCCTTTCTACTCGTTTTCCTAGAACCAATACGTATTTCTATTAGACATAGGTTAAAAGTGTGTAATTCATAATAATTCTCATTATAAAATATTCAAAATATTCACAATATGTCAATTGCTCTCTCTAGACCAAATCAGAGATTCAAAAAACCATTTATTAACCATTTGTTCAGAAACCAGAAATGCAACTGATATTTTCTTCAAAGATACTTATAAAATCTTAATGAAAACGTGACTTTACCCTTAATCGGAGCAAACAATATTTCGAGAATATACAAATGGAGACCAGCAGTGGGTAAAAACCTCGCGCGTCGTTAGCTCCGCTTTGCGTGCAGCTGCCTGTTGATGGCCGCCATTTGCAGCTGGACGGTGCTGCCCTCGTCGGAGGCGGCGGAGAGGGCGCTGGGGGAGTCGAGCCTGCAGAGCAGCGGCCGCCACGTGCACTGGCTGCACTGCGCCAGCGAGGCCGCGGGGGACGACCTGTCGGCGCTGTGCCTGCTGTGGAAGGGCAGCAGAGGGAGCGCGGCGGCCGTGGCGCCCTTCGTGGTGCTCGCCAGCGACGCGTGCTCTCGCGCGCCCACGTGCGTGCACGCGGCGGGCGCGGAGCGGGAGGCGGCCGCGTGGAGGCCGCGGGCCGGGCTGCTGGTCGGGGAGCCCGGGATGGGCAAGACGCAGTTCCTGCAGCGCCTGGCGGCCGAGGCGCGCGCGCGCAAGCCGCAGCGGTGGGCCGTCGTGGTGCAGGCGCTGCGCCACCGGCACCTCCTGCAGCGCTTCCCGGAACCCCCAGGTAGGCCCTCGCTTCACCCCACACTCGCCTCGAGACGCACGCCTGCCCACTCGTCTTTCACGAAGGATTCAGCCCTCCCAACACTCCACAAGGCATGCACAATCCTTGTCCCTTCGAGTCCTCCAGACTCCGCCCCACTCTTCTTCCACAAAAGACCATGAGGTAGCCCTCCCTACACCCCACGAGGCGCGACCACTCCTTATTCTAAACAGGCTTCGAGACAGACCCCGTCCACACCTCTGCCACAAAAGACCACGAGATAGCTCTCCCTACACCCCACAACGCACGACCACGGCTTACCTTAAGAAACATCGATACTAGTCCACGCCTCTGCCACAAAAGACCACGAGGTAGCTCTCCCAAACCTCACGAGGCACGCAAATTCCTTGTCCCTTCAAAGCTTCCAGACAAACCCCGCCCACTCCTCTTCCACAAAAGCCTATCACGTAGCTGTCCCAATCCCACGAGGCACACCCAATGCTTGTACTCCATAGGTCATAGACCTCAGTTCACCCTTCCTAAAAGCAACGAGTTAGCCTTCCCATCACACCAGGAGAAACGCTCACTCCTTGACGTAAACAGGCCACTCCTTGTCCTAAAATGTCTCGAGATAGACCCTAGATTGCTCCTCCTCAAAATCAAGAAGGTAGCTCTCCCAACATCACGTGCCCACTCCTTGACGTAAATGGCTTCTAGACTGATCTCTCCCACTCCTCTTCCTAAAAATCCGTTGACCTAAAAATGACTCTAGATAAACCCCGCCCACTCACTTTCCAACACCTCGCGAGCTACGTCCCCAGACCACTCTTACTTCTAAAAAGGCCTCGAGGTAGACCCTAGACCACTCATCGTGAAAAGGCCACGAGGAATGCCTTCCCCAGTGCATGCAACTTTCCCATATCTCAAGAGGTGAGCTCCAAGACCTCTCCTATTCCTGAAAAGGCCTTGAGATACTCCAGACCACTTCTCTTCCCCAAAAGGTCGCAAAGTAGTCTCTCCGCCCATGTACTCTCGCTTCCAATATTCCACAAGACATACCATAGGACCACTCCTATTCCTTAAAAGGACTTCAGACCTCAGTCTATTTTTCTTACGCAAAAAACCACAAATTAGGTCCTTCCCCAAAAGGCCACGGTTTAGGCGCCTGTCCTTGTCTTCTGTCCAAAAGGGCAACTCGGTAGGCCTTCAGCCCACTCCTCAGCGACACTCTCGTAAGTCTTAAAGCCCTGCATCCTCTCTACTGTTGGTACTCTATTCTCAATTCGAGAAGTAGAACGGTAGGCCAAATAGGAGAGCCTGAGGGAATCTCTGTCGCAGATCTGTCGAAGGAGCACCTGCTGGGTCTGCTCACGGGGGCGGCGTGCGGCGTGGCCTCGGGGGCGAGCCTGGCTGAGGTGACGCGGCGCTGCCTTCGAGCAGCTCTCGAGGACACAGGCGAGATAGCCGTGCTGGTGGATGGAGTGGACGAGATTTGCCCGGCCTACAAAGACAAGCTTATTAGACTTCTGGAGATTCTGCTGGAAACGAAAGTGAAGCTTGTATGGGTTTCTTCACGACCAGAGGTAATTTAAGTATGTTTCTTTCAAAAATACGCCATTGCTCCTAGAGTCTGAGAATGTAATATAAATAATCCGATTTTTTTAAAAAAACCGTAGTTCAAAAGTAAGATTTTGAGATATTAAGCCTGAAGCTAGAGCTTCATAGCCGCCATTTGATGACTTTATTGTGAACTAAATTAAACCTGTCCGTTGTTATAAGCTTTGAAATTTTGAGTGATTTTAATAAAAGAAACATAGTTCTTAGTCGTTTTCCGTAAAGAACCATAGTTCTTTTAATCTAAGTTTTCTCGGTTATTATTTCTCAAGCGTTGCTTACCTCGATCTGCAATGAGTGATAATGATTGTTTTGAGAAAACACTAATAATTATAACAGCAGTGGTGAATAACAATGAGTTGGTCAATAGTATTCCAAAATGAGTAAATGCATTAATTTCTTGCATTATTACTTCATCATAATATTATTACCCCAAACAAAAAATTTTGATCTAAAAATTTCTCAGGTTTTTTGAGAAAACATCATAATCCCTACACACCTTGCTTTATCCAATAATGTTCACTATACAGTTCAGCTTGAACTACACTCAAGCATTCATTAGTATTCACAATAGCTTGTCAAAGTGCACAACAATTTTCGTACTTCAATTTCGTCATGGAATGTATTTTTGCTCTCCTAAAAATCATTTTTGGACTGTGGTTGTTAAAAAAAGTCCTTCAATGGCTAATTCTCGCGCGCAGGTTGAAGTTTCTCTGAGTGAGACTCTGCGCTGCCCGGCTTCCTCCCTGCGTCCGTTGTCCAAAGAGGAACAGAGGAACTTCCTCTGCCAGCACTGGGCCTCCTTGCACGGCTGCTCCGCGGCTGTGTTCGAGCCGCTGGCCCGCGAAATGGTCGACTCGCTCCTGGACGCGGAGGGTGGCCGCCAGCGCAGCCTGCTGGACGTCCCACTGCACGTGCAGATGGCGGCGGAGACGTACGAACCGCTGGCGGCGCATGTGCTGCACGCTGGCGGCGGCCAGCTGCCCAAGGGCGCCTTCTCGCTCTACGACCTCTACCGGCGCTTCGTGGACAAGAAGAGGGAGCTGTTCAAGCAACGCTTCGGGCTCACTGATGCCAACTTTGAAAATATCTCACTCGTCGACAACTTCGATGAGGTTCACCAAAACTGTGCTATCCTCGAGCTGGTAAGATTTTCTGTGAGAGTTCTTATGTACGACCACTTCGTCAATAACGGAGTAATTCATGTATCGAAGGTGTAAGTCTTATCCCCTCCATTCCGTCTGCTTTGGTAGTTGAGAAGTTCAGAAACTTTGTAACCGCGACTTGTGGGCTATTGAACCAGGCTTATGTGTTCCCTTTTCTTGTGGTTGCGATGGACTGTGGCTTTCTCGCCCCCTCTGTCGGCATCCCGGCCTTTGTGCTTCCTTCCCATTTTCAACTCCTTCCCAGTTTCATAGCATTTATTTGTGGTCAGCCCGGTCTTTCTCCATCTCCATTTGGTCATTCCTGCCGAAGTGGTTGAGCTATTCGTCTGCTGCGTTGGGAGCGTACGTGCTGAGTAGATTCTGTAAGATTGATTGTTTATGATACCAGGCGCGTCAACGGCTAAGATCGTTGTTCCCGTCAGGGTAGTGCATGTTATTTTCCTTGGGAGGTGGCGGTGATCTTCTCCAACTAAATGGCGAGATCCGGCGCAGACCTACCGTCCACTAGCGGAATTTCCTTCAACCAGGTATCTCCCATCAACGGTGCCCCAGCCCACATTGCCCCAGCCGGGACAAGCTTGAAGCTCGCAACCGGTCTCCCGGCATGAGTGATTGTGTACCTCGAATTAGTTTATTAGGCAAAATATTCTTAAAGTTGTCTTAAGAGCTTACTTTCGAAGATTCGTTGCTTCCTTCCTGGAATGCTGTTTATATACACGTTTGTGTATAAAACAAAAATGAAACCTCTCTTATCAACTGATACTTCCTTTCCAGGTTTCCGATGGTTCTTATGGTGACGTCAATGTACTACCTTTCAAGAACTACCTAGAAAATAATAAGAGAAACATAATCAAAGAAAAAAACGGAATCCTATGGATGGAAGAAGAAGGAATGCATCGTTTTGTGCATTATACATTTATGGAATATTTTGCTGCCTCTTGGATGGTCTCACACATCAATGATCAGGAAACAGCGCTTGATCTAGCAAAGGAGATCTGGCGCAGACAATTTCACCAAAAACGATTCTCCAAACTGCGGCACATCCTGGAGCACATGCTGTCGGAGGGGCTGCCGCTGCACCGGGCCGTGCTGGAGGGCAGCGAGGGCGCGCTGGAGGCGGCGCTGGCGTCTGGGGCCTGCGACCTCGACGCTTGCGACCGCTTGGGGCGCACGGCGCTGGTGCAGGCGGCGTCGCTGGGGCGCGGCGGCGCCGTGGGCGCGCTGCTGGGGCGGGGCTGCGACGCCGGGCGCCGCGACGCGCTGCTGGGCTGGACGGCGCTGCGCTTCGCCAGCGCGGGCGCGCACCTCGACGCCGCGGAGCGCCTGCTGCAGGCGGGCGCCAGCGCGCACCACCTCGTGCTCGATGACGCTCACGACGCCGTTCTCAAGGCCGCCAAGTTCGGCTTGGCCAAAGTAAGTTTCTTTCTCGTATCAGCGTTCCATAAGCCATTTACTGGCGTTGAACGGTACTGTGGAATAAGTTATTTTACCACGTCACACAGTTTTCACTGTTAATGACGTAAACAAATGCACAAACAAACCAAGAAATGTATGTTTGTTTTAGTGTAGACACATTTACCACCAAATTAATTCAAATTTAGCGCCACGCTTTGAACTGCTCAGTTTCGCTGCTCTTTGAAGACATTTAAGAAGGAAAAATAAAACATTTCAAACTTCCGGCGTAGGAGATTCCTCCCCCAGTTGACCAAATACTCATACAAAGTACTTTCGTACAAAGTTCTTTGACATCGATTGTCAACTGCTTCCTGTTAGTTCGGAGAGTCACCAAATATTGCACCATATCCTTATAGCGGCCGCGACAAAAAATTACCCATTGTCACATTTCTCGGAATCCATTTTTTCCACATTAGATCCGAGAGCTCGTATTGTCATGAAAATCACAGGAGCCGCGAGCAGTTTCGTGGCCATCGTGCACAAAAGCTAAGTGAAATGTGTTGGGCTCATTCAAAGTTCGATTCGGAGTGCTGCCAAGTAATTCCCAGCACCTTTCGGCAGTCTATGCGGCAAGTGTAAGCGCCAAGCGTGAAATTCGTAAGGAAAATGTTTATTTTTTGTCCGGACAGATATAATCATGACAATCTCTTCAATACTCATTGATTCTTTATGCAAAGTAACAATATTTGTCAATTACGTGTCGTTTCTTTTCCAGAACTCTCTCGTCTGATGAGAACATAGAAGGCGATGTTCGTTGCAGTTTCTGGTGGTGATAAGCAATATTTCCCAGCCTCAACATTGTGTTGTTGTAGGTAATGGAGATCCTCGTGGGAAGAGACGCCGCCCTGAAGGACGCTCGGAAGAGGAGCAACGCGACCGTGCTGATGGTGGCGTCGAAGAAGGGCCACGTGGAGACGGTGCGCGTGCTGCTGGCGGCGGGCGCGGAGGTGCTGGCGGCGGACCCGCGCGTGGAGGGCGCGTTAGAACGCGCCGTCCGCGGCGGCCACTCGGCGGTGGCGGCGCTGCTGCTGGAGCACGGGAGCGACGCCGGGACGGCGGGCGGCGCGGCGCTGGCGCTGGCGGCGCGCCTGGGCCACGAGGCGTGCGCGCGCCAAGTGCAGCGCTACCGAGCGACAATGACGCCGACGCTGGCCGTCAACCGCGTCTGCACCACGCCGCGCGCGCCGTTCGCACACTGCCGTCGCGCGCCTGCTGCTGGAGCACGGCGCGCGCGTGGACGCGGCCAAACGGCGGCCGGCCGACACGCCGCTCATGCTGGCCGCCGACGCGGGGCGCACGCGCGCGGGCGTCGAGCTGGCTGCTGGGGTGCGCGGCCGACGGCCGACCCGGGCGGACAGGAGGCCTCCGCACCGCGCTGCTCTACGCCGCCGCCAGAGCGCACGTTCCCGTCACGCGGCTCCTCCTCCAGCACGGAGCGGACCCCAACGCTAAGAGCAAAGACAGCAGGACCGCGCTGCTCTCCACCGTCCTCCAGGACGTCCAGGACACCACTTCCGTGCGGCTCCTCTTGCAGCACGGGGCGGACGTGAACCACGGCGACGCGGACAGTTGCACGGCGCTGCACCACGCCGTTGACAAGGGCCATCGGGAGATTTGCAAGCTGCTTCTAGAATTCAGGGCGGACCCGAATGTGAAAAGTAAATGGGAGAAGACGCCGCTCATATTGGCGGTCGAAAGAGGAGACGTGATTTCCACGCAGCTCCTTGTGGACTTTGGAGCAGACAAGAGCGAAAAGGACGTGGACAATTGGACTGCCCTTCACTTCAGTACGTGGAAAGACCGTTCTGAGGCTACAAAGGTCCTTCTCGAAAATGAAGCAGAACCAAATTCCAGATGTAAACGATTAAAAATACCCCTAATGTTCGCAGCCCTAAGAGGCAACGAGTCGTCCACGCGACTGCTCCTGGATATGGGAGCCGACGTGAACCACTGCGACGCGGACGGGTGCACGGCCCTGCACTACGCCACGTGGAACGACCGCCCCGAGATCACGGCGCTGCTGCTCCAGCACGGAGCGGACCCCAACGCCGCCAACAAGGAGCGCTCCACCCCGCTCATGCACGCGGCCCAGAAGGGCGGCACGCGCTCTGTGGAGCTGCTGCTGCAACACGGGGCCGACGCCCACCACCGCGACCTGGAAGGCTGGACCGCCCTGCACCGCGCGGCCGCCAAGGGCCACCGCGACATCGCACGGCTGCTGCTGGATCGCGGAGCAGACGCGAACGCTTCCACCGGAAACCGCATGACGGCGCTGGCGTTGGCTGCCGACAAGCAGATGGTGGAGCTGCTCGAGCAGTACGGAGCGGTCCGGAACCTCGCGGGCGGAGGCGACGCTCGCTGAGGCTACGGACCTCCTGAGGCACATTGACTGCACACGTGCCCAAGGGCACTCAAAGTGACGCTCGTGTTACTCACCACAGATGTTGGGTGATGTGAATAACTAGTGGTGCTACAGAATGGCACAGACTTTCTCAAACTAGTTTTCTTTCTACTTTCTTTGGTGTGGTCTCGTTTTTCGGATTTGCCAACTACCATCTATTGCCGTCCAAAGTATATTATTTAAACACAATTTCTTATTTTTTCCTAATGCTAGAAATGAAATATTACTTTAAGAATAATATAGAACAATAAAACCACATCCTAAGGATATTTCTGTTAAAAACTTCGGAGCTGATTTTGAGAAAATATTGTTTGAGCGATACTGTAAAAGCGAAATTTGAAGCTCTTTTTTAGAGAAAACGTTTGAGTTTTCGACAAACTTTATGAGCTATTACTTCTTTCTCGAGTTTTCAAAGCAATTGCTTCAAACACATAAAAATAAAGGATGGGAGTAATTGTTCATATTTTGAACAATTTCTACATTGGTAAGTAACAGCTCAGCCGGGGAGCGACTTCTTACTTTTATTATGAATAAAATTGATAATTTGCTTCTAGTGCAAATTTTCTTCTTCGAATTTTTGGAACAACCTCTGTAGGTGAGTCAAATAATATTGAATGGTTAGAAGAAAGGTTATACACGACTGTTTTAGCTGGTTGTGAGGTTTTAGGTAGTATGTGAATAAATGATCGAAGACTTCCTACGATTTCGCCAAACGCACGTCAACTGTACCACTTAACCTAACATGGTCGACACCATTAGGAACAAGCGTCGCTGGGTAACGTACACAAACAAAACAAACCAAAATCGACCAATCAGTTCAGTTAATGAGCAATTATTCAAGAGAGAAAAGTAAATGATCCAAGTTTAACGAAACTTTTTATTCATGTGAAAAGAAGCAATTGCTTATGAGAAGTAGTAGTTCCTACTTGTACTCGTTTGCTCTTGAATACTTACACATTTTTATTCATATTACCTATTTTTATTTATATTACCCATTTTTATTCATATTACCTATTTTTATTCATATTACCTATTGTCACCTCTAGTGTAACTGTTAAATTGCTCACTTTCTACTTTTGAGCATCGGGATTCAAATTCTAGTACATCCGAATGGAATTTGTGATGGGCTAAGTGGTTCTCCTAGCTCTGCTCTCATTCCGTCCAAATCGTCATTTAAATTATATAATCTATTCATAAAAAACATTCATATATTGACGAAAAGGCTTGAGACTGAGTAACACGATTGGTTTATGTTTTCGGAAACGTAAACTGGTGTAGCCATTAGCCCCGGCAGTGTAGTTCTTCCTCTCACTGAACAGTGAGGTCCTGCGCCAAACTACGCGACGGCTTACACGGGGTTTCCCTCTCCAGGTATCTTCTCCCATCGGGGCACAACCTCAAAGCTCCATGCTGGTCTCCCGACATGTGTTTCGTTGTGTTTGAGCCTTTGTCTCTTTCGGCTCCACAAGACGATACTGTTCTAATCAGCAGTTACTCTTATTTTTACTGTTGGCTTACTAGTAGTTTTCTATTTATTCAGAAGGGAATACCTCAGTTTTTTACATTGTTACTTAGCAATAGGTTAATTTTTTCTAAATTTTTGGAATAAAATATTGAGTCCAAGAAATCAATAATTTTGTCTATTAATCAATGCATTCCAAAGTGGCGGTTAATAAAATAGAGCCAGTCCTAGCTCCTCCTATGATAACAAAGATCGTCTCCTATATTATTACAGTAGTATACATACTTCTTGCGGCTCTCACACGCAATCAATCTTTATAACTGAAGCCTCTAAAGAAAGAGAATTTCACGTAAACGTGATCAATTGCCGTTTGACTTTAAAAAATGAAGGATTTGTTTTAAAATATCTAAATATTCACGTTAAACGCAACCCGTAGCACTTGATCCCATTGTCAAAGTCTATATAGTTAAATAACTCCTAAACGAAGCGTTCTAGGGCGCAAAAATCTGGAATTCTGAGGCCAAACGCCTCCGAGAAATGATTTTCATACCATAATCTACAGAATGAGATATTTTAGAAAATCTATTGCATTTTCCTCTTCGAGCACTTATTGATACTGATCAATACACGGAGACCGTCCTTGTTTGTGACGTCACGCTTAGAAGGTTTAAATTCCTTCATTTTAGGTTTCCGCTTTCTGTGTATACTGTGGTTTTCGCCGAACGGCGAGGTTTATTTGCCTAATCATTAATTCAAGATTCGCTCTCGTAGCAACTAGAAGTACTATTAATGCACACACACTCGCGCGCGCACACACACACACACACACACACACACACACATATATATATATGTGTGTGTGTGTGTGTGTACACTACACTACTTGTTCCGATGAAGATCGTTTCTTATGCGTGTAGTGCAACCATTCATTTAAAGATTTGCCGTGGTCTAGAGGTGCTGTTATCCTAATTTAGGAGGGAATTACGCTGGAAACGAACCACATGTCCTTAGGAGTAATAGACCCACAGACACAGCCATCTTCTCCTTTTAAAATGACATACTTGTTGCACTAAATCAGAAGGAAATTCCTATTGGCCTTTTCTTAATTTGTCAAAAGACTTTATTGACCATCACTTACTTTTAAGAAAACTAGAAATGCGAGGGATTCGAGGCATTGCAGGCCAATGGATCAAATCATATTTATCAAACCATAGCCAAATAGTTGCCCTCCAGTACACTAAAGAAAACAAAACCTCCCCATACTACTCCTGTCCTCAAATGATAAATTGTGGAGTCTCGCAAAGATCCACCCTTGTGTCAAAAAAATTAGTTATATACATAAATGACATGCATTTGGCTTTAAGGAATAACAAAATAATTTTGTTTGCAAATGACACAAGCACTAGTAAAATGGTTTCAAGACAACAAACTCATCATAATCACCAATAAGACAGTCTTTCTAAATTTCATGAATCCTCGATCTAAAGAAAAACTCTCACAGCATTTGCTCATAAATAATAGCCCTGTAATGATATTTCATGAAACTTCCTTCCTCGGTCTAACAATTCAAGAAAACCTAAAATGGAATGCGCACATATCAAATCTTAACAAGAAACTCATCAAATTTTGCTATGGCCAATACACCCTCAGGTCAAGCTCCAACATTAAGACATTCGAACAATGTATGTTGGAAATGTACACTCACACCTAAAATAAGGAATAACATTCTGGGAAAATGCCCCTGAGAGCACTCACACATTTATTATCCAAAAAAGAATACTGCGAACAATGACCAGCACTCATAAGCTGGAGTATTGCAAACCCTTGTTTAATAAACTAAGGATTCTTCCCCCACCATGCATGTATATATTTGAAATAGTGAGGTTCACAAAGAAGATTCTCATGCAAAACAAAGACACTTTTATCCTAAATCCCAATGTACACAACTACAACTCTTGTCAAAAGGATAACCTACATGTTCCCCACTCTGAAACTACACTTTATCAAAAAAAGTGCACCCTAATAGAGAGAATTACACTTTACAACAACCTAGACAATGCTATTAAAGATATAAACACAATTCATACATTTAAAAGCAAATTGAAAACTTTACCGCTTAACAACATGTTCTACAGTGTGAAAGAATATTCAGATCACAAGAATATTTATCCTAAAAATATTTTTATCCTGTTTGACATTCTGTTTAATATTGTCTGTTTCGAGCAAAAAATAAATACATAAAAAATAAAATAAAAAAACTGGCATATTACGTACTACGACATAGAAGGAGGATGCCTGACAATTTTTTTTTCTCTCTGGATTTGCTTAATGCATTAGGTGCTGCAGAACGACTAGGTGTACAAATAGAAGGAAGAAAAACTCTGATCAAAGCGTGCCTCCTCCTCATCATTTCAAGTTTTAAACATAGAATGTGCTAATATTGTTAAATTTTATGTAGTTGCTACCAGAATTGATATCATGTATTGTTTTATTATTATTATTATTATTATTATTATTATTATTATTATTATTATTATTATTATTATTATAGAAGAGGGGATATCGTTTATTATTTATTATTATTCTTGGGCTTGAACAGAAAGAGGATAGGACCAAAGATGGAACCTTGCGGAACCTCATCCAGAATTAGTGAAGGATAGGAAGTTATTCTGGAACTAAAAATAGTTGCGCAGATAATCTACTCCATACATGACTTACAGTTTTTACTGTATTTTGACTAAATAAATCTAAATTCGCCTGATGATCGTAGAAACCACTGAACCACCGATCAGAGCAGCCGGCTGAACTCATCGTAGTTAGTGTGGAAAATCCTGCCACCGTCGGGACTCGAACCTAGAGCCTTCGGATCAGACTTCAGTGACATTAATTGATGACCTGAGCTATCTAAGCCTAAATTGTCCTTACGAACAAAGTAAGAGCACAAAACAACACCTATTTATTTACTATGGTGCAGCCGTACACCATAAGTACGATCTCTATACTACATATATTACTTCGTATATGCGTTCAAAATCAAAAGTAATGCAAAACGCATTACGAAAGATTTATTGGTAAAGCGTATTTTCAACTTTTTAATTCCCGCCACTTTGAAGTTTGACATGCTGATCCTGGGAGAGCAGCACTGTGGTAGAACAACGCAAGTTGCGAGATTTTACACGTGCTTTATCGCACTTGTAACAGAATAAACAGATTAGGCGACCGACAGTCTGTCGGTTTGACAGTAATGAAATGGATACAGCGGAAGATGTTGTAACATCGATAAACGTAAGTTTTTGTTTATTATTTGTTTATTAATAACACATTCGACTATGTTTTAAAAATTCAAGAAAGCACAAATAACTCAAAATTTGAAGCATTGTGTTTTGATAGTGTGTGCCTCCCAAAAGTCAAAACACGTCGGTACCGCTAGTTTTGCCTGAAAGATGTTATAAATATCAATTTGTTTCGTTATTAGTTTTTGGTGTTTGATATTTAAAATTTTCTGTTCTGTTAGATTAAAGAAGAACCTGAGGACATTGAGGATTTCACACCTACAGTGAGTTGAAAATACTTTTTTTGTTATTGTTTTAAAATTGGAAATTATTGTTAAGAATCGGAAATTAAAGAGAGTGGAAGAAGAATGAAAACACTTTTGTTTAATGATTGTAATTAGATGTATTTATAAAAAATTGCATGCATATTGTGGTAGATGGTACATTACTGGGTAAGAGAAAATAGGAGTGTGCCTCAACCTTTAGTGTGCAGGATGAAGAGAAACTGTACCTAATACAACAATAAGGTGTTATGCTATTTATGAATTAGTGGTTCTTCTTTGTCTTGTTCATGTTAATGGTAATACAATTCATTAAATTGGAGTAATACTACAGTCAAACTTGCTCAATGTAGACTGTGTATAATGCGAAAATCTGCCTAATGTGAACTTGAATTGTGGTCCTGCCAAATCTAAGTTCTATTGTATTACATTGTATAATGGGGAATCTCGTCTAATATGGAAAAAAATACTGGCTTCTTGAGATTCTGCATTGAGCAAGTTTTACTGTATTTTGTTTTGAGAGTACTATTAATATTACAGGAAAAAATCAGAAATGATTTCATATTTGAGTGTAGATACTGAGATATACAAAATCTAGTATATTTTTAATATTGACTAAATTAGAAATGAATCTTTGTTGACCTTTTATTAATGATTACTTTATGGTTTTCAAAATTACTTGCTTATCTTATTGTGAAATTTATTGTATTTGATGAATAACTTTCATTCTGAGTTTATTTAATTATGAATTTTTCATTAAATTCATTTGGTTTTGATCAGTATGAGGATTGGAAGTGGATATGAAAAACTTGGGTGTTGTATTTGAAACATTGTTTTCAAACAAGGAAACACGGAAGAATCTTGTTGCCAAAAAATATGTAGTTAGAAAGCTGCCAAAGCCCCTTTAATGCAGCTCTGCTAGATTTAAAGACCAGCTTCACTAATGTTTTGAGTGGCTTATTGAACATTTGTTTTGATTTTGTTACTCACTTGATTATTCTGTACAAGTTATACAAGTACAAGTATACTGTTACAAGATTATACTGTTGGTTTAAATAATGAACTCCAGAAGTATGCTTCACAAAATATGAAAATCAGGTTTTTAAGACTCCTTAACATGTGCTGGACTACCAAGAAAATCCCTCATGAATGGTCCATTGCTGTAATAAAATCAATGTAATAAAAAAACAGAATTGCTCTATAAGTGAGAACTATAGAAGACTGTAGCTCCTAAATGCAGCATATGAAATCTATTCAAACGTAATAGCTGAAAGATTGAAACCAATAATACATGCTGTCATCCTAGAAGAACAAACCGGATTTTGCCATGGTAGATGTTGTACGAACAATGTTTTCCCAATACAACAATTTTTAGAGAATATAATGAAGAAACTCACATACTCTTTATTGTTTATAAAAAAGCATTTGACAGGTTAAAAGGGAAACACCTTGGAAAATAATGAACATAAGAGGAATTCTAGTATATCCAATTTCTCTAATGCAAAGCATGTATGAGAAATTATGTGTATGCATCCGAAACAGTGAGGAGCCCAGAAGGAATCCTAATGACAATTATGACAACTTCTTTTGCAGATGATCAAGCTATTTTAAGTAATAATGAAGACAATCTACAAAAAGCTATATGTAGCTCAACAAAATTATCTCCAAATATAACATGAAAATATCTAAAGAAAAACAAACTAATAAGTACATTAATGGTCTTCTTAAAAGGACATTTAGAAGGAAACTAAATTCAAATGCCCTCCTGAATTTTGTAGAATATTTTCAGTTATTATTCTGCTGTGTGGATGTGAGAATTGGTATTATTACAAGCATATACAAGAAGCCTAATAATCAGTGAAACGATATTCCTGGCAGGCTGGTGGCGGGATATTCAATGTTAGTCTCTAAAATAAGCAATAGTGTATAAGAACTTTATTTATTTGCCATCACTAAAAAATGTAACAACAACATTTTTTGTCATTCTCAGGAATTATGTGAACCCAGCTGGGAGTGCTCTGAGAAAAATGAAGGTGACACAGCGGAGGTAAGTCAGCTGACACAGTTCAACAGATAAAATATTTCATTTTACTGGAATGGAAATACTAAATATGTACATTTTGTTTACAGTTCTATTCGGCAGATGTTTAGAACAGCAAAACAGAACCGCTAACTATAACTAACCACTAACTAGTTTTCTGAATGTCTTATAATTACTCATTGCATTTAAATATTAAAAAATAATTATTTTTTTCTATCATTCATTATATTTATTTAGATATAACCAGTTTTGTGTTTTGTAACTGTAAATACCCTAAAAAATATTGTTTGTGAATTATTTTTGATTGAGCATGGTGGTTTGCTTTGATGTTCTCTACCTTCTATTGTGATATAATTTTAAAAAAAATCAATATAATTGAACCACATTATGCGACAAGGAATCAAGTCCCAAAGAAACTGAACTAAAAAAAATTGACTTCAAGTTAATTGATCATAAAAAATTCACCTATAAAAATACGTATTGTGACTTCTGTCATGCCTCTATCAGTATTATAATTATTTTTACATCTATTACCTGATATGCCAAATCCCTGTTTAAACTTTAATCTAAACTTTCAGACATGAGCTGCATTGGCCCTGGAATATTTATATTAAGATCGTGGGCTGAAGTTCCTCCTGTACAGGATAGGGAAATAATATTTACCATTATCTTTTGGTGATGGGAGGGGAAATTACTTTTCTTTATCTACAAAGAAAAAAAACAACAATGTAGTCATCATTCAAATATATTGAGCAACGTGACCTAATGGTACCATTAATTTATTCTAACGAATATCAAATGTCTCTCTTTCTTCTGTAATATAAATTTTTACTAACTCTGTCATTATGATTATTACAAATTATGATGGTGGTGGCCATCAAAACTGCATAATACTTAATTTTTTTATAATCTTACTTTCTTTATAATTCTTAATTTTACTTATTAATTAAACATTCTTGGGCTTAAGGTCCCCTTTTTATACACTTAATTTCTTAATTTTCCTGATGGTGAGGAAGCACGGCAATCTTAGCGCTGAGAAGAATCACTCGGTTCGTAGCATCGTCTTTCCAACATTTCTTAGATTCCACTTTGAAATCGTATCTTGCATACATTTTTGTTTACTGTCCGCATCCTTCTTCCATTAGCTGCCTACGTTTTTGTGCCTCGAAACTCGCATCTACAATCACGACATATTCTAACTTATTAATGTTTATACAATTTGTGAATGTGCATCTTCTGTCTACCACATTACCTAACATCTTTCTCAAAGCATTTCTGTGGCAGTGAGAGCGACACGTTTTCACTCTTCCAAAAAATTGAAAATTGCCAGCACATGCTACACCATGTTGTCGGCTCGACATCTATCACCCGTCTGTGTCTTTTCAAGTCAGTCTAGTCTTTCAATTGTTTTTTCAACAATTAAATATGTCAGTTTTATTTTTTTAAGTTATTGTGACGTGTTCAAATGGACCATCACCATATGTACAGATTATTTCAACTAACAGGTTATTGGTATGCAATTTATGCAAAAATGGCCCCTCAAAAATTTTCTAAAACTGAGATATTACACATTTTTTTGGGTTGGTTCCTTTTGGCAGAATGGTAGATGGTTTAAAAATAAATTCTACTGTACTGAATCATGCAAATATTTTACGTTTCAACAAAAATATTTTTTTCTTATGTCTCAATAAGTATTATTCATCTACGTAGATGAGTGTTGTTACCTCGTCAACATGTCAATTACTGTGTTTCAAAATCTGGTACCCCAGAAGAGCCATAGACATCATGTTCCGCTTTTCATCTCCTAGCAAAGCAATCTGGAAGTCTCAAGCATCTCCTGGAATTAAATTCATGATAGATTTTGTCTTTAAGTTTTGGAGTTGGAATTGACCTTTTATTGATCCATGATGGTGACAAATTATTCTCAATCTGATTTGAAGATGGCTGACCACTTTTTCTTTTGTTGATGTTAATCTCAAAAAAACTCCCCTGTAATTTATTTCCTTTTGAAAATGGAGTATTGTCTCTCTTTTTCTAACATTATTTTGCATGTCTGCAACCAGGAAATGTTTTTATTACTTGTATCTACCTTTTCTGCTCTTTATCGTTTGTTCTAGGTTCCTCTTTCCACTAATCCTGTCCATTTTTACATCTTCAAAGACATTTCTCTTTCTACATTTCTTCATGATGGCTATGTAGTCTTCGGGCCAATAAATACTTTCTTGATACTTCAGTGCTTATTTTTTATAAAAAAAACAGCATTGCTGAGTCGAAAATTGTCCCAATATCGGGAAGCATACAAGAGGTTTGGAATAACACAATTTTCACAAAAAACAAAACAAAATTCAGATAAATAAATGACTGTTTGCTTTCACAATGGTTTGCATTACTAACGTCACTAAACAGAATTACTTTTCTGCTGAAAGGAAGCACACCATCTGGATTATTTCTGCAGAAAGAGATTTGTGACATATTTATTCAATGTTTACATACTTGGTTCATAGATTGCATAAGCATGCAGGTGGATGGTTGAGTCATTTAGACAGGACATTGAGAGATGCTTATGGAATAATAACATAGCACTAACGCACGCAAATTTGAGTGTTGGTTCCTTTCTGCAGAATGTGAGACTATTATCATTTCATAACTCATTGGTTATGGCCTTGCCACAAATGTTATTAACAGGAGTTAAGAAATTATATTAATATATTCTTGATATTTTGGGAATGAAGTGCAGCAAGTGCGACATAATTTTCTTTTTTTTTTTTCTTCTTCTTCTTCTTCTTCTTCTTTTTTTGTGTGATTTTATTGGAATACTCCTATCCTTTTTCTTGTTGTAATTTCACAGGAAATACCTGAACCCAAGTGGAAATGCTCTGAGAAAATTGAATGTGACACCGAGGAGGTAAGTCAGTTGGCTCAGTTCAAAAGGTAATAATTTCGTTTGACTGGAAGGGAAATACTAAATATGTGCATTATGTTACGGTTCTATTCTGCATATGTGTAGAACTACAGAACAGAACCACTAACCATGGATCAGTTTTCCCAATCTTTAATTTTGCTAAAATTAGAAATTTATGTTGGTGATCTGTATTCTTGCAAATAGTAATAATGATAATTATTATTATTATTATTATTATTATTATTATTATTATTATTATTATTATTACTACTACTACTACTACTACTAATTTCATTTTAGGAACTTTCTAATGATTAGAGGTGAATGAGAGATGACTTTGTCAAGATGGTGGATGTCAATTTATAATGTTTTTTTATGGACAAGCTATATGTATTTTTCTGAATTTCTCTACTGAACTACTCTATCTAATAATTATAAATTTTTATATCATTGAAATATTAAACAATAATTAACATTTTCTACCATTCATTGTATTTATTTAGATATAAACAGTTTTGTTTTTCCCAACTACTAATGCCTTGTGGTTGTGAATTTTTTTGGTTGGTGCATGATGGTTTGCTTTGATTCTATTGTGTTATATTTTTTAAATCGTAACAATTAGTACTTCATAATTGCTTTTTTGTTGGGCCTTGCCACAGATGTTATTAACAGGGGCTTAGAAATTATATTAATATATTCTTAATATTATGAGAGTGAAGTGAAACAAGTGAGACATAGTTTTCCTTTCTTGTTTATCTTTTTTGTGTCATTTAAGACTAATTTTTTTTGTAATTTCACAGGAAACAGCTGGACCCAAGTGGGAGTGCTCTGAGAAATACAAAAGTGACGCAGAGGAGGTAAGTCAGTTGACACAGTTCAACAGAAAAAAATACTGTCCCAGGATCTGTTGCTGTGTGATGATGAGAAAACTCATTTCTCAGTTTGAGAGAACTAGAATATGGGACAGGAATGTCTTTGTGCTAACCTCGTGTATCCCTTAACCCATGGTTGCAAGGCCTGGAAGCTGCTGGTAGGCCTTAGCTCGTAGAGAGATGCTGTCCCAAAGTACATGTATGACTTTATTATTAATGATGTTATAAAGGCTTCTTTCAATTTAGTATTGTTCCAAAATAAATTTGGCTTTAGTGTTATTAGTTTGATCGAATGAGGTGCCAAACATGCATCTCACATGACTGGTTGATCTCACTGTCATCAGGCTTATCTGGCATATCAATTAGTGGCAATAATTAAAATCATGTTTTAAAATTTTGAAAGTTCAAACATCTTTTCATTTTATTGTATTGATGATAATAATAATAATAATAGCAGTACTTCTTACTTACTATTAATTGATAAATAAAAATAATCGAAATTTAAATATTTTTATTGCCACCTGATTTCTATTGCCTGTGCTATTTTGGACGAAAAATGTAATAAGTGGATGTGGCTGTATTTGCCTATTCTCAAAGTGTGTTGTACCAACTGAATTCTCATTCTCAAAATGACAGTTCTCAAAGTTCACTATCAGTGCTGTTATGTGATAGCATGGAGAGACTGCCCATATTAATAATTGCTATTTCACATGCTACATTATGGAACAGTTTGTTTCTGAAACTACTTCCTATTTTTAAAAAATAATCAAAATTATCAAAATAATGGGAAAAATAATAATAAGTATTCGGCCAGTTGAGGTGAATTTTTAGATTTCTTTGTTAAAGACTTGTGCACTTGCCTGGACGCTGGGTAGGCCCATAAATACCACCATTTACTTGAGTAGTTAATGAGCCTTTATGCATTGGAACATTTCCAGATATTTCAAAACAGCTAAGATAAGCTGCTCTGCTTTTAAAAAAGGAAACAAAAATGAAATTAAAATTCATCAGCCAATTTTCCTTTTGCCAATTTTTCAAAATAGTTTGAAAGAGATTCTTCTTTATTACAAATGGAAACTTGTATTTCTCAAAGCATTTTCCGTTTGCCAACACGAATTTAGAAAATATTAATCTACAGAAATCTATGAATGTTTTCATTTTCTTAAATATTTTGCCTTCATCAACAAAGAAATGGTACACTGTACATCAGATGTTTCAAATAGGTTTCATAATAAAATAATAGTAAACTAAGGAAATTAGTTGCAAAACAGTTTTCCATATCAAATAAACAACTAATACTCTATTGAATTATGAAACAAACAAAAATGAATAATAAGCCAATTCCACCCACTTTGATCCTTTTTTAAAGCTAAGAAATTTTATCATTCCCTTGCTTGTGATTTATGAACATTGGCTTTTTGTCAGGATCCCTTATTTGTCTTTATATTTATTAATGACTAATTCATGATTTTGCCATTTGGTAACATTCTATACCTTTTTGCCATGGTGTGGTTACTGTCAATAAACTGCCATTATGACTTGCACTTAGCTTCATGATAACGTACTGATAACTACATGATGTAGTTTGAAAGTGCATAATGATTCTGTAATGCTATCAATTGTCATTGGCAGCAACCCTCTTTAGTCATGCTTGCAAAATATCTTGGTATTCATAATGATTGTGAACTGAAGTGATTACCACATGTAAAGCATGTTGCAGCCAAGTTATATTTGTATTATAGAACGCTAGCTAAACATTTTTAATTTTAACTTTCTATTATTTATTATGAATTTTTGCCTGTGACTATGATTGGCTTATAATTGGATGTGGAGGCGCTTATGAAACTTCAATTAAGCCATTACACACATTTTAAAAGATCATCATCAAATTAATATTTAAAAATCTTACAGCTCTAAAATTTTGTATAGAGATAATAATACAAGGACTATTGTAAAAGAAATAGGTCTTGAATAGTCAAATATGTTTACCAATTAATTTTTCATAAGATAATTATAAATTAGTAAATCTGACTACTAAAAAAACTTTAAAAGAAATTATTGTATTTCGATCTCGAAGTATCAATTTTCTTGATACCTATTTGAAAAATTGAAAGAAATGAAAAACCTGTTAACAGAAAAAAACTTATTAGTTTCTTTTAGTTTAATAATCTGAATGGCCACGTTGTGTTATGTCAATTTTTACAAAGTGCAATAGGTTTACTTTTATTTCCTTATGAACGCAACATAAAAACCATATTTCCTGCCATCTAAATTATTTTTATAAAATAATATTACATTGTAACTTAGTGAGTCTTGATTTTTTTCTTTTTTTAAATCAATTTTATGGTAATTTGTATATTATTTATGTTTATTTTGGTTTCTCTATTAATTATAATTGTGTAAACTGTATAAAATTAAAAAAGTCATTAATAAAAGCATTTAATATTCTCAACATAAGAGTATTTGTATTTTTTATAATTTTATTTCACTGTGCAGCAGGAGTTTGAATTTCCAGCGCTCTGTTTGTGAAATCTGAACTAGTGAGCAGGATGAAGAGGACGAAGATGGGAGGAGAGATTGAAAGATGATGATGAAATCAAAATGAAAAGAGGCTCAGGATGAAACGGTTCAAGACTATGAGCAATCAAGAGTGAGAAGTGATGAGGATGAAGCATTGGGTAAGGATTATGGCGGGACAGGTATAATGTCCTGAATCATTAATTTATTCATTTATTCATTCACTTATGCCATCAGCTTTATACATTTTAATTTCACATTATAATGGTATTATATATATGAGAGCATAAGCACATAAACAAAAGTATACTATTTAAATTATATATCATAAACATTGCATGACAAAATTTGATTGAGACAATAATAAGTAAAAATTAAATGAATTCTTTTATGCTATGTTTGAAAGTAGATATAGATATATCGAAGAAATGAACATTTGGTGCTATCTGATTGACAATGTTAGCTATTCTATTGTGTGGCCCAAAGATAACATAATTCTTGTTGAAATTATTCACATTCACAAGTCTTCTTGTAGGCAAATTAGGCCTGGTGCATACAAGGCCAAATTGCTCTAATATTTCAGGCAAGTCGATAAAGCCGTTAGAAGAAGATAAGATCTGTCATTTGTCTCAGAGTTTGAAGACTCTCAATCGTAAGTAGGTCATAAACATCATCAGTGTTTCTCACATTTTCATCTTGACAGAAATAAACTAAGGATTTGCAGAACTTTCGTTGAATTCTCTCAATTCGTGTAATATGTTGGACAGTGTACGGTGACCAAACTATGCTTCCGTATTTCAGTATTGGTACCACTTATGCAGAGAATAAACGAGACAGTGTTGATGCTTCTAAATTCTTTTCTTGATCTGAGTATGAATCCCAAGATTTTGTATGTTTTTTTAGAAATTTTTGTCCACATGATCAGCAAAAGTAAGTTTCTCATCAATAATTATGCCCAGATCTTTAAATAAATTAACAATTTGTACGTTTCTTCCATCTATCTGATAGTTGACATTGTATTGACCATAAGCACAAAAGATCATCACAGCACATTTCCCATTGTTCAAGAATAACTTGTTATCCATACACCATTTCTCAAGTACAGCGATGTCGCGTTGTAGAATAACCACATCACTCTCACTCACAATAGTTCTGTAGTTCTTCATATAATCAACATATAACAAGATTCTGATTGCAACCCTTCTCCAATATCATTTATGAAAATAATGAAAAATATTGGTTCGACATGAGTATCCGAACAAAACATTGTGATTAATTATATGGTGTCCTGGAGAATTGACAATTCATTTTTCATTTAAGGTACTTGTCTATCTGAGTTTTAAAATTTTTATTTGTGGCATATATCAGAATTTAATTATTGTTACTTGTAACATTGAGTATTAAAGAAGTCATAAATTTTTATTTTTTAATGTATTTTAATGCATCCTATATGCCCTTTTCTCTTCCAAAAACAGGGTATTATTTGTATCATAACTCATGAACCGAACATCATTACATTTTTGATGATTCCTTTTTAAGATAAAAAATGCATCATCAATATATATTCAAAATTAGAAGAGTTATGATGTTTCAAGGTTTCCCATAACAAGAGAAAAAGTAACTTGAAGGAAATGCCTGATTAGGATTCATTAGCTCTAAAATACCCCAGGATGGTAAGTTACACATTCAACTTTGGTTTTTATGACTTCTTTCACCTTTCTCTGATCTTTCATGTATCTCCTTCTGCTTTTACTGTCAGATGTGGTTTGTTTTTAGGCTATTTGATGTTCCCTTGTGTCACACAGTCAGTTTTCGCAACATGCTTGTGCCAGATTTGAAGCATATACTTTCAAATATTTGTGACGTGGCATTTGTGCATTCATTTGGAAAAGTACAAATAAAAAACAAATAAAAAGTACAATAAAAAACTAATGAACTTAGAAACAAAAAGTTTTAATCATCGAAAAGTACAAATCTCAGTGCACAAGAAACAACAACAAAAACAAAAATTCAGTTTTTGATGGAAAAACTTATATTTGGAGTAGGCAAGTACCTTAAGTGAAATAAACGGAATCCGAAATCTCTTTGCATTTTTGATTTTTTCTTGGAATTGCAGATTTCTATTGATGTCTTCTGCAAAAGCATATTACGAAGCATTGTTCTGCATTTTCTTTACCTCTGGTGGTGTTAATGAAATCTCTAATTCAGTCCTATTCATCACCAGTATTTTGCTCTGTCGTGGTTTACTGTCACCTCAACAGATTACCTCTATGAAACAAAATATAAATTAGTGATGCCCAATGATTTATTGTCTTCATTATATTTGCATGGTTTATAAACATAAAATATACAAATACAAATATCACTCTGAACGAACATCACTGCTATTGAACCATAATCTGTAGTATGATGATGCTTTATCTTCTTGACAGTTTTATAAAATGATATGAAATAAGACAGATGCACAAGTGTCCCATTTGGGTTTTTCCCCAGAGCCTAAACTCCATGCCCAAAGGTGAAGGAGTGTCGATATAATCCAGATCTGCCTCTTTACTTTACTGCTTCTTAGATTTTTTGTATCATAATAACCAGTTGCTTGAACAGAGAGAACAAGCCATAGGAGTTTTGGAGTGAAATCCAGTAGTCGAAAATCTTTGAATCTATTTTAACTCGAAATATATTTTCATTTTTTGAGAGGAATAGAGCAACAATGTGCACGCCTAAAGGTGGTGTCAGAGAATACTGCCACTACAAGGACACTATAAAAGTCGCAAGGAATATCATAATGTGTTAAACAATGGACGTAAGAAATAGGTAGAGCAGGTAAAAGTGAGTAAACATGTTTGTCTGGTCATTTCTAATGCTTCATAATTGGCAATGATAATGACTTACAGCTGAGTAAATATTTCCATTAATTTATAAACTTTAAAGCCGTAATTGCCAATGGATTTTTTTTAAATGTTTATTTTATATAGTTATTGACTTTCTTGAAAACTAAGTCTAGGTTTATACTCAATGAAGCAGTGGCAGCTTATGCTTAGGTTGCATGGTCACACATCTCCCAAATTATCAAAAAATATTTTATAATATGTTTGGGAATATGCAGTTTCTTTTTAATGGCATTCAGTATTCTAGATATTGCAGAACTATCAATTCAATGTACATGAAATCATTTTTAACCAAAAAGTGCCCAGCGAGCACACTCTCTGGTATCTGGTGCTCTCCCATGCTTTGCAACATGTCTCGTTTATGGCTCTATGCTTGAATGTAGGGCTCAATAGGGTCTTTGGTCGCACAACCAGTGGATGGGGGTCTTTTCACCAAGTGCTGCATGTCGTCTGAGGGGAATCCCAATTTCCTGCCTTTGTCTGACTCAAGCTGTAGCTTAATTTTATGAATTTCACATTTCATTGAAAATACACAAGTTCAGCTAATTATTGAAGGTATTGAATGCATCATTTATGATGTTTGGAAGATTTGCTTTAATTTGATATTATGTTTGTTTGACTAAAAATGTATACTTGACATTTTCTTTCTGTAAACTTGGCTGCCAATCTGGAAGGAAATTCTTTTCTGTCACGTGATGGCTATAGATTTCCAGGTGCATTTACAGTCTGACAGCGGTGGTGTGAATTCGAATGTTTTTGGAAGGATCTTTCATTTTAACAATATATACCTGGGTAGTGAAATTTTCGAAATAAATTAATTTTCTTTGTTTAAAACATGTGCAAACAATAGCGGTTGTTGCAAAATGCTGGAGTGCACATACTATATTTTTAAAACTAAGGAAGGGTTCAAAATGGTAATAGACTGAATCATGTCAGGAAGCATTTAATGCTGTAAAATGACAATTCACACAAAGTATGTGATCAAGTATCCTGATTTTAACAAGACCATGTACTTAAAAATTTATAGCATTTGGGTAGGATTTGGGAGCTATGTTTTCATGGGTGCTTCAGTGGTGAATTATGGTAGCTATTATTGCCTTCGAAAGCAGAGAATTAAAACTATGTGGTAACTGCAAGAGGTCATTAGGCATTAATATTCTTCAAGAATAGTCATTGTATGAACAGTTGATTACCGAGGAGTCTTTGGCTACAACAATTTACATTTGACGTTTAATATGGTCAGGGTGAAGAAGATTTAATTTCTTGTTATTTAAGTATACGAGTTAGTAAATATGAAACATATCCTCTTGAAATTACTATGGCTAGTAGAATAAAATCTTCGGAGATTGAACCACAATTAATGTGGATGAATATTATGAAAATCCAAAATAAAGACTTGTGGTTTAGCCAAATAACAAATTTAATGAATGGACAGAGAATTGAAGATGATTATCTGACAGAAAAATTCTATCAGGATTCAAATCTTTGTAAAGGAATTTTTTTCGTTTAAGACCAAGAAAGGTCTGAGTTAATATAAAATTTGGAAAAGAAGTAGAACAATTAATAGTTTCAGTTCATGAACATTAATTGTATTACAGAAATAATAATATTTATAAAACAATTAATTAAAATTTATGTTGACAAAATATGCAAAGGCAAATTAGGGTAATTATAGGAAATGTAAAGGATGTAAGTTTTCAAAATGGCCAAACTTTCTCATTCAAGTAGAAATTCGAAATTTGTAGTAAATCTAGAGAATTACATGATTTATATATGCAATTATTTAAAAGCAAATGTGGAAATTGATGTACGTATCTTTGTAATTATTTATGTATTTACAAAATTTGTATAGTGTTACATCGCAACAAAACAGACAATGAACAACTGTTTAAAAAAATTAAAAGATTCATTGAATTAGTAGGGATTCCGGGAAATCTTTTAACTGATTGTTGAACATATTTCACTGGAATAAAATGGAAGACAGAGATAGGTAATTGAATTAATATATTTACAACAATAAAACACCAAGAATCAAATTCATCAGAAAAGATTGAGGGAATTATCAAATTTTTAGAGTATATAATTCAGATAGACATCAAGAATGGTTTGTATTAGCACAAATTAATTAATTAATTAATTTGGCATAATACAAGTCTAGCAGGAAACCCAAATTACAGGACTATCTATATACAACTTAAGTCCAACAATGTGACGTTATTCACAAATACAGTTTCAAAGATTGAAGATTAGGAAAAATTACAGGACTGTATAAAACTTAAATCTAAGGCCATCATGGCGTTCACAAATATAAAAATATAATCTTATGGATAGATCATTAATAGAATTATTACATATTATTAAGATATTTGTTAATATTGGCAGTTAGAGAAGATGGAATCAACAATGTATTTTTTGGGGGTTGTTTCAGACCCAAAGACTTGACATATGAAGGGGTATTTATAAATATGTTCATAACAAGCGATCTCAAACTTTTAAGAAAATGATGTATGAATCATATTGTTTTTTGTTTTGATTTATAAAAAATTGGTACATTTCTTAGAGGAGTGACCTTTGTTCTGCAGGAAGAATTGGAGCGTCCCGCTGCTGTCTATCTTGAGCCTTTAGAGAATACTGAAGAAGATAGTAAGAATAATAAGGTAAGAATAACTATGTGTCAGTATTATGTAGTGTAAAATGCAAACGAAGTGCTGTATTGATGATAGCCCAGGTTTAATATATTAGTAAGGAGAAACTAAATTTCGATTCATTGGACAACCAGTGGTTGGGGTGTCAGGCCAGTTAATTTTCTGCCTCTTGAGTATTGGGTTCCAGGTTGTTTGAAGTGGGATTTTGAGAAAAATAAATAATGGTATCTATAGTGCAATGGTTAGCAAATCGGACTGTTATACCCAAATTCGCAGGTTCAAATCTGAGCAAAGCCGTGGATGTTTAAGGGCAAAAAAAATATTTTGTTTGCCTTCTTTTGGAGGGGAAGTAAAGTCAAGTCCCATGTTAGTAGATTTACTGCATGTGAAAGATCCTAAATGATGTTTCTGAGCTAAATTCAAATCGCCTGCGCATCCCGGTGGTTTGGGAGTCCCTTTTATATTCCCTGCCGCTTATTGAGGGAATCTTCCCAAGAACCTTCTATTTGGCCACATGGCGATGAAATATTTATAGAAAATTTATAATTTTCAATGATCATAATGAAATGATTTATGTTTATTTATGTTGGTTCATTTCATTCAAAAGCATAGCAATGAAGCATTTTTAATAACATCATTTTCTACCGTGATGGCGAAATGCTTAATAATTATTTAAGTTGGCTCATCACACTGCCACCCATGGTGTAAATTACGTAGCCTCTACCCATGTCCTTTGCCAGAGTGATACATGACTTGTGAGGGTGAGAGAGGTGCTGTTACATGCATTGTTTAAGTTGAAAGATTTCTAATGGCGAGGTCTTCCCTGGTTGCAGTAACTCTGTAGATATCACACTCCACTTTTGATGCCATTTAAATCAATCTCTAAATACTTCTCACATTAATGACAACTCACTGAAAATTCCAGCGAAATCGGTTGATTAGTTTGTTGTAATGGCACTTCTAAACTTGCAAACATAGCCTTTTATTGACATAGATAAACAGCTCTTTGGTTTTAGCTATTCCATCATCAATATGGTAATTTTTAAAGCGCGATATTCTCAGATCAGTCACTTTTCATAGGAAAGTGTTAATATATTAAGTGATAACAAAAGTCCTAAAGTTTCTGACGAGACACACATCCCGAAACCTGTCACTAAATCATAGTTGCAGCTTCATTTATGTCTTTAAATGCTCTACAACTGCTTTGTAATAGGAATAATTTTCTTGAATTTTAGTAAATGTTGCTATTTAATTTACTATGTAAACAATTATTTTCTATACCAAGTCCACGCTGATTGAGTGTCAATTACATTCTAATCAGGCAGGTGGTGCATAAAGATGTAAAGTGAAAGTTATTTTCCCGACATTAGCCTTCCAATATCTTGCTGCATTGTGAAGTTATTCCCTGTCTTGCTGCAGGATCCTCTTGCATCAGGCTGTGAAAGCTCATTTATTCCAAAAATAAATCAAGAGATCTTATATTCCCCAGGTGAGTGGAAACAAATTTTTATTTATTTATTTTGTAAATTCAGGGGTGCAAAGAAATAAAATTAATTTAGCATGCATCTATTGCAAGCAAAAGTTCGGCAACTAGCACATCTTCGAATTGTTGCGCTCAGAAGTGAGTTTCCTTTTAGTTTCATTAAATTAAAAAATTATATTGCTACAGTTTTAACTAATTGGGGATACACAAAACAGAAATTCTCTTATCAAACTTCTAGGATTATCCAACTGCTTCACATGGGTCATTGGAATGGTGAATTCTTATTTTGCATTAGGTTTTCTTTGTGTCAGTTTCTTGACTTGAAATCCATAAGTGAGGGTATATTAACATGGCCAATTTGTACCTAGTTATATGCTTTCTCTTCTATCTTGTGAATGCGTGGCAGGAAATGTCTATAATAAATCAGGTAAATTCCCAATGATTTGTAAAATGTAAAGTAACAATTTTTCAAAATCTGTTAACATGAATTTAATTTCTATATTGAGTGTACTTGAGTGGAAGCAAAAGCATTAGTCAGGAAGGGCTGAATGTGAGGCTATGTTACAAGGATGAGATGTTAATACACCAGGAGCAGAGATTGCAATGTCATTTAGGATTATCAACAAATTTGATGGTCAAATATACAGGCCATGTAATATTGAATGCATGAACTGGAAAATACTATGAAAAATAGAATTTTGCAAATGAATAACAAGCTACGGGATCAAGATCAGGTTTATAGACTTAAGTAGGCAAATTGATATCATTACTCACCAGTAACGTAACGAAATGAGTGCCGGCCTACTTTATGAAAGTGTATAGCAAACACTAGTATTGTTAGTACCGTAAATAATAATATTAATAATTATTACTTAATTATTATTAAGTAAATAATAGTAATAATGATTATTATTATTATTTTTTTTTTTTAATGTGTATGGTATGAAATAATGACAGCATGACACTAGAAATCAACTCTAGTATATCTATGAAGTTTATTGGTATTATTCTCATGGACATAGATAGGAATAGCTCAAATTGTCAACATATTTACCATTGCAATGTGTTTAAAGTGTCAAATGTAAGTTTTTGTGGGTATGTTATTTTCCAGTGGGTAATATCTAACTTGTCTGATATTAAGTAAACGAGAGCTCGTTGATCTGATGAGACTGAATTGTTCTGATACTAGTATTTTCTGTTGACAGATCGAGTATTACCTAGGGTTGTGCACTCTCTCTCTGGCGAAAAGCTTTTCCAGTGTTCCATCTGTGAGAAGAACTTCAATAAAAGAGGAAAATTTCGTGAACACATGCGCACTCACACGGGTGAAAAACCTTTTCAGTGTTCTGTGTGTTTGAGAAACTTCAGTCAAAGTGGATCATTGCATGTGCACATGCGCACTCACACTGGTGAAAAACCTTTTCACTGTTCCAGCTGTGATAAAAGCTTCAATCATAAAGCAACATTACATGAGCACATGCGCATTCACACTGGAGAAAAACCTTTTAAGTGTTCTATCTGTGAGAAGACCTTCAGGATTAAAGGTAATTTACATGGGCACATGCGCATCCATACTGGAGAAAAACCTTTTCAATGTTCTGTCTGTGAAAAGAACTTCAGTGAAAGAGGTAAATTACATGCGCACATGCGCACCCACACTGGGGAAAAGCCTTTTCAATGTTCCATCTGTGAGAGGAGATTTGGTAAAAAAGGAACTTTACATGGGCACATGCGCACTCACAATAGTGAAAAAACTTTTCAGTGTTCTATCTGCTCAAAGTTTTTCAGTATTAAAAGAACATTACAGGATCACATGCGCCTGCACACTGGCGAAAAGCCTTTTCAATGTCCGATCTGTCAGAAGTGCTTCACTAAAAAAGGGACTTTAAATTGGCACATGCGCACCCATAATGGAAAAACCTTTTAGTGTGATCTGTTGAAGTGTTCATCTGTGAAACAAACTTCAGTGTTTAAGAAACATTATGTAGGCAGGTGCACACACTTAGGTGAAAACTCTTTCAGTGACTTTGAGAGGAGAGCTGTACTGTTATAACAACTTATTAATTTATATACTACTCTGGTGAAGAACTTTTGAGATTAATTATCTGAAATAAAGAGAGAATCTATTAAACACTTTGCATTCATACACCTTTTATTAACCTATCCCAGTGAGAGAACTTGCAGTTAATGCAACATAAATGAGTAATATTTAAATACTGTAAACACGTAAAAAATCTTAAATATCTTCAACCAAACAAGAAGTTTCAGATTAGGTTTATTAGGTTTATTTTACTTAGAGATTCTGACTTTTTGACCTTCCCTTCCTAGCGAAATGAAATACTGCAACATAAATTGAATATCAAGATGATACCTGTGCCTATTGAGAGCCGGAGGTAGATTTGTTTCATTTAGCCTTCTTGACTAATTGTTACATTAAATGTGAAGGGCATTCAAAAAGTTCCCAAGATTACCTTGTCATTGCCAAACTAGTGATAATACAGGGTTCACATTTCTTGTGGTATGGGGCCGGGCATGTTCCCAAGTGGGCCAAATTGGTCTAGTGAAGATTCAGTGCGCAGTGGTCTCACTGCTTTGTGACACGTGAAGGTGAGTGGTGATCTGCCTGCTTGAATGTTGCAGTTAGAACAACAAGAGAACATCATGTGAAAATTGGGAAAATTGGTTTCACATTGCCCGTCCTTGTGCGTCACTTTGACAGTCTGTTACCGAAAATTTCTTTATGCAAGTTTTGTAGAGTTTGATGCGGTTCAAAGGAAGTGAAGGGCCAAGTGGCAAGGAAAGTGGTGTCTGCGACACGATAAAACACTTGTGTTGCTGAAATTCCTCACTGACAACATTCCTATCTTTCCTCAACCACTGATCTTTCCTGATCTCATTCCCAGAGACTAATGAATGTTCCTTATTCAGAAAGTGGACCTCAAAGAGAGATGTTTTGTAACCATGGAGAACTTGAAATCAAACATGACGGTTCAGTTCCAACAGGTGCCAAAAGAAGCCTTCTATCGCTGATTCCAACAATGGCATGAACGTTAGAGTTAGTGTATGGGTGTGCAAGGGTCCTATTTTGAAGGTGATTAGATGACCATTGTCATAGGTTATAACATTAGCATGCTGAACCACTATTCCAGGAACTTTTAGAATGCCCCTTATACGTATTTACATACATTGTTTAGATCTATAGGTACACTCTAAAAATATATTTACAGCGTTAATTTTCTACTTTTATGTACTTGTAATTTTTTTATAAATTCTTTAATTTTATCACTATTTTTAATTTATTACAGTAATTTATTAAATAATTCAATTCCTAAGTAGTCAATTTTTTACGTGTACAGTTTTATCATAAGCAGGAGCAGGATAGTAGGTCAGATGCAAGTTCCTGTTAAAAGACAGTAGATTGGTGATTATTCCTCCAGATGTTCGTAAGCAATCCATCTTTTGTTGGGTCTTCCTATATTTCTTTGCCCTGTGGGTTTGTACTTTAGGCACAGGTCAGGCAAAAGTCTTCTGTGGGAAACCATATTTTAGAAAGCTTACAAAGTACGGCCAATGGCTAAAAAGATGGTGTGATGCAATTCCCGTTTCTGGGGAAACAGGAGGAAAATGAAGAAGTTTCAGGAGAAGTACGACTAAATTGAAATGTGGAACTAAATTGATGTTTGCTCCTACAAATCTGTGTTAGTGGAAAGGTCATTTTCAGCTTTCAAAATGGTTTTAACAGATAAAGGACACATCCTTACTGTAGAAAAGTTGGAGAAAATATTGATTATATACTGCTAATTCTGAAACTGAATGGAATAATATACTTGTAGTCTCTCTCATAAATGTAAAAATACATGACTTCCTGCCCAATAAAAGTACCTAATTTAATCCTTTTGGAAGCAGTTTTAGGTGCCAGATGCCATTATATTCGTTTTATGTTTTTTTGCCTGTTTCAGTCATTTTGTAACCTAATTTAAGTACCCTAAATGTCACTTTATGCCTAATAGTGCCTAATTTTGTTTATTTTAGGTGACTAAATTATCACTATTGTACCTAAAATTCTGAGGTCTAGTCATCAACAAATAATTGAATTTTACAATCAATACTAAAATGTTTATCATATACCTGTTTAAGTCATTAATGTGAATTATAAACCAAAAAATTGAACCAAAACAGACTCTTGTGGAACTCCTAAATTTCTACTAATTTTATCTGAGGTAACATCATTACACTCTACTATTTTTTGCTTTTAATTGTTAAGATATGGAAGAAATCAATTGTGATGTCTCCCTTGATTCCGTATTTATACGTTTCCTCAATAAGCATTGTCCTGTCAAAAGTTTCAAATGCTCTCTTGAGATCCAGGAAGATACCTCCTGCTTTCTGTACTACATCGATATTAATCTTACATTTGTTTGAAACTCCTTGTATTGCAATTCACATGACTATTTATATCTAAACCCATATTTTTCATTTCCTATAATTTTATTGGTTTCAATATGCTTGTTCAATTGCTTCTTTATTATTTCTTCTAATATTTTTGGTTTAGTGAATATATAGGTAGCTTATTTATTGGCCTAAAGTTTTTTTTGCATTTGTCACTTTGAATTGGTATTACTGTTGACGATTTCCATGAATCTGGAAAAATCTCTCTTTCTAGGAAATTACTTACTACTCTCAATAATACTACTTCATATATTTCATAATATTCTTTTAACATTTTCGTCGTAATACGCTTGTCCTGAAAATAGCTAGTATAAGCCAGACACCTGTCCAATGCGGATACGGAAAGGTTCTTAGAAAACGTAAAGTGTTATTACCTTTGCCAAGATGGAAATTTATTTTTAAATTACCAGCATTATCTTTGGAGTAGAATAGTGTGAAGGGTCACATCCTGAGACAATAGAGTGAGTGACAAGTTTATCTTCTTATACTTACTGTCGGTGACTCTTTGTCCATCTCTGAAACTGTTTCGCTGCGACTTTCTCAAGCTTAGGTGCGATTTTCGTGACTTTCTCACTGTCCCTCCAAGTCATGTTGATTGTCTTCACCCTGTTCAATAATTCTCAAACGTATCATTACGTTCCCTTCAGCTGACAATGGAATTCTATGAATTCTATCTGGTCATTCTAGCATAACATATTCTACATATGCTAAATTTATTTGTAAAATGCGGAATACAGACTTGTCTTATATTTCCCATGTTTTGTTGTTGATATTTTTAATTCCTGCAATGTTTTCATTGATAAATTATACTTTATTTTCATTACTTTGTTTCACTAGCAAAATTATATCAAAAATACTGTACTTAAGCGAAATGTTGAATTTTTTGCAACCCTCTTTAAAACAGAAGCCTGCCAAAATTGGAAATTTTTTGAAGGAACTGTCATCTCTCTTTTTTGCACATCAATTTTATTTCTTATAAGACCAATTCTTTTGTTTCATTCAGTGTGCACTTCAACATTTTAAATAGATCAAGCCATTTAAGGATTTTTATGACAACTTTTTTAAATCCCTTGCTTAACTTATACTATTCCATGTTTTGTTTTGTCTAACGTTATATCCTAATAACTTTTTAAATTGATCAGTTGTAAATTTCTATAGTCTCTTTTATGCATTTTAATTACTACTCTACAATTTGTACTTTTTTCTTTGTAATTTTGAATTAGCATGATCCAGGCACGACAATCAGTTACTTTTCGTGTGTCTCGTAATTTTTACATTGGAATTTATTTAATTATTTCTTTAACCCTTGCACTTTCAGTAGTGCAGATTTAATGTGCTTAGGGTTAGAGGATGTTAGGAATCCTCTTGTTTCAGCCACTTTTCTGGTTGCTCCCCCACTTCTAGGACCCTCTGTACAAAGAATGTAACGGGTATCTCAGTTGGTCATATGTCTAGAAGTGGCATGGCAAGTGCCATGCTTCAAACATACCTTTTTACCCAATACTTACTGTTAATAAAGCAAGTAAATGTTGGTACTCATTTGGAAAGAAGGCGGAACCTTAGGACCGCTCTGGATAGGTCATCACCAGATAAAAATCCCCTGCTCTGCAGGGATTTGAACCCAGGTGCCTCAGGTTAACAAGCGTTTGTCCTAATCACTATGTTGCTGCGATCTACATTGGAGAATGCTACATCAATGATTGTCTGACTATTACTATCTGCTGTAGCTGGCCCTTTTACCTTATTGGTTTACTCCCAATTATTTCAAAGTAACTTCTTCATGTCTTAACTTTCACCTTGTTCATTGTATTAAAATCCCCCATTGTTATGCAATCAATTGTTATTATTTCTTCCACTCTGTACTATACTTAATTATTTTCAATTTAACTGACAATTTGTCCAAATGATTACATAAAGAACAGGTAAATAATTACATCTCAATAACTTAGACTATAATTACTCAATGTACAATCAAGAACAGTTATTATATATGTATCTGTGCGTGTCTGTCTGTCTGTCTCTGTGTCTCTCTATCAGTCTGTCTGTGTACAGAAATAGGAATATAGGACGATACGAATTTTAAGAACAGCTCACAATTGACGGTAATGTAAAAAATAAACAAAACAAAAGAGGGAAGCACTATATTGAAAATTACAGGAATATTGAGAAAATAAGGAGAATCATAAGAAACATTAATTACATAATATAAGAAATCATTCCAACTTAAAAAGTTCACTCTTCACTTCATTGCTGAAAGGCAGCATCGTTTGACATTTAATTTAAAATTAAACTTATTAGCAGTATATAATAGGATTGTTAGTGTTTCGAATGCCTTAAACTTCTGACCAAAATGCCAATAAATTCCGTCTCAGATGCTTTTTGGAGAGAGATTGCAGCAACTACAGATGGAGAGAAGGCGGATCATCGCCCTCAGGTCAACTACTCGACTCCACACACCAAACTGGCCCTTTTTCACTCTACAGAGCGTTGTTGCGGGTAGCAAAGGTAAATCTGCCTACATAGGCTTGGGGTTTCATATCAAATTATTATTTACAATGATTTTTGTATTCTTTCAGTTTGTTTAGGTTCTGGTTGGGCATCTGTTCTCAAATTTTATTTAAAGGACCTATCAGGCATACATCAAGCCACTATTTTTTCATTTTGAAATCGTTCAAAGTAAGTATTATT